ATCGGAGTACTGACCAGACCCAACGTTGCTTAACTTCGCTGATCGGACGAGAAGCGGTGCTTTCAACGTGGTATGATCGTTGACATAGGCCAGCCTAACATTACGTAGCTTTGTGCCAGTGCTGGCAGATTCGATCACCATTCATTCGAGTAGGATGCATCTTTTGTTTTGGCATCAAACATCATTACCGTGCTATTCCCATCACGTCACGGCGATCTGCTCCACAATGTAGGCATCGCTAACAACCGACCGTTTGCGGGAGGAAAGGTAATTCCAACTCAGTTGGAGTCTCCACTCAGGTTATGAGAATATCATATTATTACACAGCAGACGAATGGCATACCATTATATAGAAAATTATAGGATTAGCATTATTATCACTATCATGATCATGATCATGATCGTAATCATACTGTTATATGTACAGCAAATTATATTACAGCTAATTTGATGAATTCTAGGAGGTAGCGCGAATCATATTAAGATTACTTAATTCGACTGATCTTTAAATTACAGTAATCTTCAGCTTGTTCTTTTGAGGAGATCATTACTCTGGTTATTGGTTATCATCATTACTAATACAGGTATCATCACTGACCAATGTCGGGTACAATGACTTTTCTACAAGACCGCAGCAAAATCCGTTAAGTATGAGAAAGAAGGGAGTCAACTGTTGGGGAAGCAGAACTGCATTTACTTTCCTTACCCTTATAAATATTGGATGTGTACTCGTGTTCTTCTCCCGCTCTGCAACGACGGTGCCTTTTACTGTATTTCCTATTGACTGACGTGTGATTTGAATTGATTTCTTGAAACAACTCGAAGAAGAGCTGCTACATATTGTAAAGAAATGCATAACACATTTAACAAAATGCCAACGACATCTGGTGTTCCCAGGCGGTCACCCATCCAAGTACTGACCAGACCCAACGCTGCTTAACTTCGCTGATCGGACGAGAAGCGGTGCTTTCAACGTGGTATGATCGTTGACATGTTCCAGCTGAATTTTACCCGACTTTGTGGCAGCGATGGCAGATTTTTCATACATTTTCCATGAATGTACATCTTCTTGTCTTTCATCACTGACCAATGTCGGGTACAATGACTTTTCTACGAGACCGTAGCAAAATCCGTTAAGTATGAGAAAGAAGGGAGTCAACTGTTGGGGAAGCAGAACTGCATTTACTTTCCTTACCCTTATAAATATTGGATGTGTACTCGTGTTCTTCTCCCGCTCTGCAACGACGGTGCCTTTTACTGTATTTCCTATTGACTGACGTGTGATTTGAATTGATTTCTTGAAACAACTCGAAGAAGAGCTGCTACATATTGTAAAGAAATGCATAACACATTTAACAAAATGCCAACGACATCTGGTGTTCCCAGGCGGTCACCCATCCAAGTACTGACCAGACCCAACGCTGCTTAACTTCGCTGATCGGACGAGAAGCGGTGCTTTCAACGTGGTATGATCGTTGACATGTTCCAGCTGAATTTTACCCGACTTTGTGGCAGCGATGGCAGATTTTTCATACATTTTCCATGAATGTACATCTTCTTGTCTTTTGCACCAAACTGCATTACCACGGTCCTCTAGTCATATCACTGAGATCTGCTCCACAATCTTAACATCAATAACAACCGATCAGTGAGGGAAGTAGTTCTCTTTTGTGGTTACTAGAATCCTTTCTTCCAGTTTTCCGACTCTGGAACTCTACAAGGAATGGTACAAAAGCAGACCTTCAAAACTGCTGTCAATTTTTCTTCTTCTTCTTCTTTTATTTTGCGAAGACTTCATTGTGAGTAATTTCTTAGACTGAAATTTTAATTAATTACATTCGGTTTCTTCTTCTTCTTCTTCTATAGGTATCCTTCCTAATGTGATTGTCATTACTACTACAATGATCATAGCTATCATCATTACAGCATAGAACGACCTTTCTGAAAGATCGCCCCCCAAAATACCGTGACAAAAGGAATTGAATTTAAGGTTTGGGAAGCAGAATTGCCTTTACTTGAGTCACTCTTATCATCATCCGTTTTCTGTGTATCCTTCTCCCTTCTCCTAACGGCGTCGTTATTTTTACTCTATTTCCTATGGACTGACGCATGATTTCAATTCATTTCCTTAAAAGAATATAAGAGCAACTGCCATAGATTGTCAAGAAATGCTTAACCTATGTAGCTTATAAAGTAAAATGCCAACGACATCTGGTGTTCCCAGGCGGTCACCCATCCAAGTACTGACCAGACCCAACGTTGCTTAACTTCGCTGATCGGACGAGAAGCGGTGCTTTCAACGTGGTATGATCGTTGACATAGGCCAGCCTAACATTACGTAGCTTTGTGCCAGTGCTGGCAGATTCGATCACCATTCATTCGAGTAGGATGCATCTTTTGTTTTGGCATCAAACATCATTACCGTGCTATTCCCATCACGTCACGGCGATCTGCTCCACAATGTAGGCATCGCTAACAACCGACCGTTTGCGGGAGGAAAGGTAATTCCAACTCAGTTGGAGTCTCCACTCAGGTTATGAGAATATCATATTATTACACAGCAGACGAATGGCATACCATTATATAGAAAATTATAGGATTAGCATTATTATCACTATCATGATCATGATCGTAATCATACTGTTATATGTACAGCAAATTATATTACAGCTAATTTGATGAATTCTAGGAGGTAGCGCGAATCATATTAAGATTACTTAATTCGACTGATCTTTAAATTACAGTAATCTTCAGCTTGTTCTTTTGAGGAGATCATTACTCTGGTTATTGGTTATCATCATTACTAATACAGGTATCATCACTGACCAATGTCGGGTACAATGACTTTTCTACAAGACCGCAGCAAAATCCGTTAAGTATGAGAAAGAAGGGAGTCAACTGTTGGGGAAGCAGAACTGCATTTACTTTCCTTACCCTTATAAATATTGGATGTGTACTCGTGTTCTTCTCCCGCTCTGCAACGACGGTGCCTTTTACTGTATTTCCTATTGACTGACGTGTGATTTGAATTGATTTCTTGAAACAACTCGAAGAAGAGCTGCTACATATTGTAAAGAAATGCATAACACATTTAACAAAATGCCAACGACATCTGGTGTTCCCAGGCGGTCACCCATCCAAGTACTGACCAGACCCAACGCTGCTTAACTTCGCTGATCGGACGAGAAGCGGTGCTTTCAACGTGGTATGATCGTTGACATGTTCCAGCTGAATTTTACCCGACTTTGTGGCAGCGATGGCAGATTTTTCATACATTTTCCATGAATGTACATCTTCTTGTCTTTTCATCACTGACCAATGTCGGGTACAATGACTTTTCTACGAGACCGTAGCAAAATCCGTTAAGTATGAGAAAGAAGGGAGTCAACTGTTGGGGAAGCAGAACTGCATTTACTTTCCTTACCCTTATAAATATTGGATGTGTACTCGTGTTCTTCTCCCGCTCTGCAACGACGGTGCCTTTTACTGTATTTCCTATTGACTGACGTGTGATTTGAATTGATTTCTTGAAACAACTCGAAGAAGAGCTGCTACATATTGTAAAGAAATGCATAACACATTTAACAAAATGCCAACGACATCTGGTGTTCCCAGGCGGTCACCCATCCAAGTACTGACCAGACCCAACGCTGCTTAACTTCGCTGATCGGACGAGAAGCGGTGCTTTCAACGTGGTATGATCGTTGACATGTTCCAGCTGAATTTTACCCGACTTTGTGGCAGCGATGGCAGATTTTTCATACATTTTCCATGAATGTACATCTTCTTGTCTTTTGCACCAAACTGCATTACCACGGTCCTCTAGTCATATCACTGAGATCTGCTCCACAATCTTAACATCAATAACAACCGAT